GGCAGCGCGGGACGGCCCCCGGTGAACGGCGTCTGGAGAAGGGGCAGGGTGAGGTCAGTGCTTGGCCTCGATGATCTTCAGCGTCCTTTCCAGCCTCGAGGATTCTGTGAAGACGCAGAGGAAGAGTTTGGGGACGTGGAGAAAATGCTGGTGGACAGCAGCAAGGAAAAGCAGCGCATAGGGCGAAAGCTTCGCCCCGGTACATCGCCCCACTCTGTAACAGAACCAGCTTCCTGGCAAAACCTCAGCAGTTTACTCAGAGAAATAAAAAAAAAAAATTATTTTTAAAGGGAAGATTGACCAGGGCAAACTGTTCCCTTGCCTAAAAGCCGGCACTACTGCCCCGTAAGGAGGAGAAGCACAAAAGGCCCGTTGCTGCTCACCACAAGGCTGTAGCAGGAGACCACCACTATCACCCATCGCATCGAGGGACCCGGGTTTTTAGTCCCAGCTCCACGCTGCTGTTTGAGCACCACACCCGTAATGAGGGGTCCATTCTGCTGGCACAGCACAGATCGACTGGCCTACCCCAACATCGCATCTTAATGTCTGCGCCCAGACACCCCAGACTGCTCAAAGGGCACTCCCACAAGAACTGAAAACGCTGGGACTCATACCTACCTGAATGTCCTGCAATCATTTCTTCCATCCACACAGCTTTTGGGTCTCACAAAACAACACTCAGGACTTGGATTTTTGCCATCACTTTTTTTTTTTACTTTTGGAAAAATGTACAAATTAAGTTTGAAATAAATATCCATCCTCTCCTTTAAACACTGTAAAATCAGACTGCCCAAACGAAACGTGCTTATACTCCATTTTCCCCTACAGATGCAGAGTCTGTAAAACCAAGAAATAGGTAACTACAGTGCTTTTTTAATTTCCTGTGATTCATATGAGTGAGAACAATTGAAATAGCTGGATACTCTTGAAATACTGATCCAAAACTGCAGCTGGTCATACATACAGAAGTGGCAATTTTTGCCTGTGCCCCACTAACCAGTTTCTTTTCTTCTTTTTTCCAAAAGAACAATATTGCAAAGAGGCACAGCAAAGGGATGTTTCACTCCACTCCTGCAGACATTCAGTATCACCCTTCCTGGGAACAGGCTGAGATGAGACTGTCCCAGGTACACTGGAGACCTACTTACACAATTTGGGAGACAGCAATTTACAGAGCAGAACAAGTGAAAAAAAAAAAAAAAAAAAAAAAAAAAAAAAAAAGGTATCTGCCCCAGTTTTCAAAGAGAAAACCAAGGTAAACCCACACTAGAGCCCAAAGAAAGGGCATATTACAATGTGTTGTGTAACTGATGTGTGTAACCAGAAAGGACAAATTACCATGTAGCAAATGCATCTTGTCCCCACAGATCACAAGCAAGGGCAGCAGCTTTCCCAGAGCAAATAGAGTGAATGAGCATTTGCCAACAGCTGGTATGACTGCATCCCTGAGCAGCCCTATCAATGTTAGAAGCTTTTTTTTTTTTTTTTTTCTTAAAGTTATTTGAAGAATAAAAGGACTGAACCCCACAATACCATCACGGCCCATCTAAACCAACCCCACTATATTACACAGTGACACTGCATGTGCAGAGCAGGTTCCTCTCCCACCCTTTCAGACACACTAATCTGCTTTAGTTCAACTCCTCCAAAAAATCTGTATAAATTACTCCACTGGTTCAGCAATCTCTGTTGAAACTGGCAGTTACTTCTCCCAACCATTATTTTTAAAGTACTTAGGATATAACTTAAAAACAACTTACATTTTTCCTCCCACCAACACACAGTGATAATGGAATAAATCCACTTTCCTTCACATTAAAGAACAAGTTTCCCCTTTGGAGTGGCACTAGTTTCTTAATTCCAGTATTTAAAAAGATTAAATTTGGTATTGTCTCTTCTCTCCAACAGGAAAAAAAAAGAGATAGGTAGATGCCAAGGGAATATGGAAGAAAAAAACAAATAATAGATATTAATGGTAGATCTGTGGTTCTTGACAATGTCAAGTTCCAAACTTCTAATAGAAAACTAAATTATAAGTGGGACAGGTTGAGGGAGGCAGAAGCAGGGAGAAGCACTGGTATCAGAGTAGAAGATGCAAGCATTTGATGAATCAAGGACCTTAAAAGTCCAATCTCTAAACCACATCTTCATTCTCATTTCTCAATCTTCTGCAAGTTGGCCTGATGAGCTGTTGTGGACGCTGTGCCAACTCCAAAGCTGGAAGTGCACAGACAAGAGCCAGAAAAGCCAGAAGTATTTGCTGAGGAACAACGTGCCCTGACAGCAAAAGGGCAAACAAAGATGACGCCAGACATGCAGGCAGCTAGACAACCTCCACAGGAAACCACTGCCAGCCCCTTGGGCTTAGACAGAAGCAGTGAAGACCTTGTCCAAGCAGGCACTCCCATTCCTGGCCTTCACATGGTCCCAAATCAGACACTGAACATCACATGCAGGCAGAAAGATGGTTGATGACATAAAAGACCTTCTAGAAACAGTAAAAAAGCCCCTTTTTTTCCCCCCTGTATGTAGACATTTAAAACTATCTTTTTTTTCCCCCACAATAAAACCTGCTAATGATACAAGTGATTTCGACATTAATGTTTCTCCTGGCTGTTTTTTCTGAGTAGGTAACAGCTGTATGACACTGAACATCACAAATTGAGTCACAGTGCACTATCTTCTCCTTCAACAATAGAAAACCTGCTTTGATTTTGAAGGCATGTGTTGTTTTAACAGAACTGACAGACCAGCCAACACAAGGGACATTCAACATCTCCAGAATGGCAAAGTTCTGCTGCTGTCTGCACGTTTATTACAAAACAAAACCCAGTCTTTTAGGGTGAGCCTAAAAACCCTGGCCCCAGAGGTCAGTTCCTGGCCGTTCGGAGCCTCCTGCGGAAATAGTCGGGCGCTGCATCGTACAGCCAGTCCGCATCCACCACGCACAGGTCCCGCATGTAGCACTTGTTGGTGCGGAGCAGCCCGTTGTAAACCACGCAGGCGGGCTTGCAGTGGAAGAGGACGGAGGAGGGGTGGATGGCCACCAGCTGGTGAGAGTCCACGGTGCTGTAGGTGCCGTCGGGCTGCAGCTCCGCAGCGTTCATGAAGAGGCTGTGAGCCAGGCAGCGGCGGATGTTCTCGGTGTCTGAGCGGGAGGACTTGATGGGCATCGAGAGCTGTTCAGCAGTGAGAGACACAAGAGTCAGCAAGTGTGTTTGTGCACCCTCGTGGGGAAACACAGCCCTGCTCCAGCGGGCTTCCAAGATCAAGCAATACTGTGTCAGAAATCTGCTAGCGTGGGAAGTATAAAAGGACCACTAGGAATTCAGCTCAGGTAGATGTGAGGCCAATTCACAGAATCATCTAGGTTGGCAAAGACCTTGAAGATCACCTTGTCCAACCATTATAACCAGACTAACATCAAACAAAAGATCAGCCACAAAATGGATCAAGACTCTCCTGGGAGGGCGTTTCAGGCTAACTAGTCCTCTCAGCAGGACAGGGGTGCCCATCAGTGGCTCCCATGTCAGGTACAGACTTGCAGCCAGTTCAGCAGCAGCTCCCACACTGCGCCTCCCGCTCTGGAACTGGCAGGAGCAGTGCTGATGTGAAAGCTGCTGATAAATCAATGCCTGACTTGGAGAAGCAGCCAGCCAGCATGGGCTGCAGAGGCTGACATCACTCAGTGGCACACATAGCACTCACATCCACATTAGAGCAGCAAAATCCCTGAGGAAAAGCTGTCCTCTACCTGAGAAGCCTTCCCAGAGCTCCCCTTCTCTCTTCACCTCTCCTCAACCCACTGAGCCCTGCAGCTATGAGATTCTGGGATGCAGCTGCAGAGTCAGGAATTTTACCTGACTATTCATGGGAGAGTGAAAACAAACCCACATTTTGTCACTCCTGGGACTTTGTGCACAACTAAAATCAGTTTGGGGGCAAACAAAAAGTACAGACAGGTGAAACAGAGATACAGTATGGCAACACGTTACCTTTACACAAATGTCCCTGAGCTGAGCTCTGATGTCTGACACAAGCATCATGTTCCTGCTGTTGACAAAGTTGTGTTTGCACCATTCCTGCAGCAGAGACACCAGGAGTTAGAAGGGGCTGTTTCTTCATCCAAAAAACCATGACAGTCTTTGGATACTGTGACAAGCAGAATCCTCCACACCACAGTCTCTCAGAGAAAAGGTGCTAACCCATTTTCTACCCCTGATTGTTTCCCCTCTGTCTACACTCCCTTCTACAGTGCTAAGAAACAGCATGGTGTTCTCTTCCCACTCAGAATTGCTCTGCAAGGTCACTGAGTACTGCACAACAGCACCTGCTATCCCACAGGTGGTGAAAACAAATCATGTAAAAATGACAAATGCTGCAAGGAACGGGGTATGCAAGTCTACAGATCTACAAATCAGACTGAGGAGTTTATAGGGTAGGATAAATCAAAATCTGCTTGTAAATATGACCAGTGTTTTTACAATTAATCCTGCCAAAGAGCACGTCTAGGTATTTATCAGCAAGGCTCAACACTCTCCCACTCCCTTTTGTTTCCAGCTGTAACCAGGGAAGCAAGAGACCTGGCTCCGATTACAGACCTGGCCACAGGAAGCTTTGCTAACCAGTTTTGCTCCAGCTTTCTGGTAGAACTTTCAGCACTTGAACAGCTTGCTCCAATTCCCCAGTTGTAAAGGATGAGTAAGTCTCCTCACTGCCTCAGAAGGACGCAGATGTCACTCTGCTGCATGCCAAAAAAGCACCAGACAGCCCTGGCATCCTCAGAGCATCCTACCTTGTTGCCACTGACATTTAGAAAGGCTCTGTACACGCTGAGCAGGGTAAGATGATCTCCCCCACTGGAGATGAATTTCTTCCTGACAGATTGCACTTCATCCCGCTGGGCAGGGGGACTGTAGAGGACACTGTCCACTGACAGCAGTGACACGATGGTCAGGATCTCTTCTGTGCAGTTGAACTTGGGGGACAGGAGGATGGTCTGAAAAAAATCACAGAACAAAACTGATTTTTGGTCGACCAAATCCACTTCAGATGGGTAGACTTTTCTGCTCACTGGCAGTCCAGGAATTTTACCAAGCATTGTTTAGGATAATTTCATAAACATTTGGGCCTGGAGACAACTGTAAATCATCCTATGGGCCCACCAAGCATCTTTAACAGCGACTGCCATGCTCTTTCCTGAGACTGGCCAGTTCGTGCACAGTACAAACACGGTGACTAAAATCAAGTGCAGCATCAGACATTAAGTGCTAAACAGTGCTGCCAGCAATCCCAGAAACTGCAAGGAAATTAGCCTTGTTTCAGCTTCAGAGCTGCCAGAGGAAAGAAATTATCTCTTACGAAAATATCTCCCCGAATTAAACAACAAATGACAACCAAACCATCACAACTGCTGTAAATAAAGCTGTGCTTCACTGATGTACAATGTACACTCGTACAGCTACAGCTGCCCCCCATTCCAGATTGTTTAAGGAATCTGACAATGGTATTAGAGTGTGTGAGATAAAAATGAGCTAATTTTTCTGTAGTTTTACTTTAGAGAACTTTGGTTCCAGTGGAAAGGCTGCCATCTTCCTTCCCAGGGGGGTTAGGACAAGCTGATCTTCCTTGTGTTCCACAGCTCCCAGCAGGTCCAGCTGCTCAATCGCTGCTTGAATAGCATCTGCCAAAACAAGGATGTTCAGGCTGTGAGGCCTCCTGGCTGGCACTGGCAGGGATGCGAAGGATCAGCTAGCACCACCACTACCTCTTTCCCCTGGCCAGAGGGACAAGTACTTTAGAGAAATTCGTGACCCAAACTGTGGTCTATCCCCCTCTATCTGGGAGAACAATCACCTTTTCTAATTTAAATAGCAAAAACAGAGGCAAAACCAAAGCTGTCATCGCTAGCTTTGAGCAGAGGCTGTGCGAGATCCTCTATGGCTTTCCTTGGCAGTCAAGGCACACCTTCAAGTTCTCTGCAATCCAAAACTGCTCCCTGCTCTGTTTGGAAGCTGGACTCCCCAGCTCTCTGCCCTAACCATGGCTGCTCTGATGAGATCAAACCCAAACAATGAGCAGTGAATGAAGCTGAGATTTCCGGGCCATCAGGAAAAGATGCAGCAGAGAGAGACTGCTCCTCTTTCACAGCCCTGACCTTCCAAACTCCATCCTCTCTGGCTGTCCTGAAGACATTATTTTTAAGCAATTCCTCAGTGACTCATTTGTCATTTTTTTCCAAGGCTGCCTTTGTAATCACTTACCAGGAGATGGTTTGGACATGAAGTCAAAGGTGAGCACATTGGGAATTCTCATGGCCAGGAGCTGAAGCACCACACTGGCCAGGTTACACCTGCATAGGCAGAAAACACAAACTGAGATTGTTCTTTAATTTTTTTTTTTCTTTTCTTTTCTTTGCCTATAAGCTGAGATGGAGTACTCAGATCTGTGCTGCAGCTTGACAGAGACTAGTACAATGCTGACTAGTGAAGCCTTACCAGGAAGGGTAAGAGGTGAGTCCAAAATTTGGAGAAAAGTCCATGTGTGTTCAGAGACTCAGATACCAACTGCCCACTCTGAGCAAATGCCTCCTACTTATTCTGTTTAGTCTCCACAGTTCATTTTTCTTAAAAGGCAAACAGTCAAACCCTACATCCAGTTTTGCTGTTCAGCTCTTTACAGACCTCCATCTGTAACAGTCCATAAAAGAGGTGTGGCAAGAGGTATGATGGTATCAGGGTTCTGTTCTCACCTCTGTATCTCAGGTATTGTCATTTCATCAAACTTCTCAAACTCATCCTCTGTGTAGAGCCGGTAACAGATCCCGCTGTCCTCTCGCCCTGTTCTCCCCGTGCGCTGCCAAGCCTGGGCCTTCGACACCCGTTGGACTGCCAGCACTTCCAGACCAGTTTCTGTGTGTGAAAAAACATCACTTCAGTCAATGTGTGCGGAATTCAGCTTTAAAAACACATAGGATTACAATTAAAAAAAAATCCCAGGGTCTGCCATCGAAATACTGCTCAGACTTTTACTTGATTTAGCACCCTGAAACAAAAAAGTATCATGCCCTGTGCCCATGAAGAAAAGATTCACATTGGACAGATTTTTATACCCCTACATGGCTGGTACTCAAAAAAAAAAAATCAAAAGACCAACCGAAAACCAACACCAAAACCCACATCTGAAACCTGGGATATTCATTTAGACAGTGCAGAGGGTGTTTTAAATCAGCTCTCAGTGGGGCTCGTTGCCTCAGATAACTTCTACAAAACTGAACACAATCTCTGCACTGTTCTTTACAATTCCTCACCAGGGCTGTACTTCTTTGCTTTGACCATGCCTGTGTCCACAACATATTTTATTCCCGCAATGGTGATGGAGGTTTCTGCAATGTTGGTGGAGAGGATCACTTTGCGACAGCCCTGGAAGGAAGAGCAAAGCCAGTCAAAAGCCACCTTAGATTAGCTGCAACAAAGAAACACTGCTGCTTTGGGCCAGGCCTATGTATCACAGCATGTTATGATCACAGACCAGGCTTGCTATGTCAGCTCTTGCAAACAAAGATAATCACTGGTTCCTAAACAGTTTCTAAAACATGTTGCAACATGTTTCTAAAACACTTGCAACAAAATACACCACCCAGGACAGCTGTTATCAGTATGTCCTTAAACCATTTCAGTTTAATTTCTGGCACAAGATCTGAATCCTTATTTATCTGCTGAATAGGTATAAAAGGGCCTGAGGCAGCACAATTTCCTTTTCTTACAGCCCTGCCAAATATGCCCAGGTGTTTAGTTTTCTTAGTATTTGGCCCATTAAATGCTGTAACTTTTGTGTGACAGGAACATAAAATTCCTATGAAATGGGGCAAACTTCAATTCCTCTGCCCTTTTCACTCCCCCTAATCCTTCCTCCTTTTTATGATCCCAGATGACTTATCATATGCATCTGTTAATACCATCAGTTGCACTCTTGTATCACCCTGGAACCATTCAGCCTAAAGTCAGCAGACAGTGGAGACAATGACTTACTATCAGTACAGAGAGCTTTAACCCCTTAAATTCCACGTTTCATCCAAACACACGTGCAAACAACCAAACTCATCCTGTTTACCCATCACATTGCCTCACCTTGGGTGCAGCCTGAAAGACACGGAGCTGTTGGGAGTAGGGCAGAGAAGCATAAAGAGGCATCACCACCATCTGTGGGCAGCCTTCAGGGAGATGCTTGGCAACGTCTTGACAGGTTTTGGTCATTGCTTCAATTTCTTCCTGACCAGTCAGAAACACCAGGATGTCCTGAGAAAAGGGTGCTTCCTGGAGCCAGAGGAAAAAGCAAGTGAGAAGTTAAGATGGTTTGGATATGGAGGGAAAACAGAGACTGTAACGAGATCTTGTCCTGACAGCAAGTCAGCAAAGCAAGTATGAAAGAAAAGACACACGTGCTGCAAGGTATGCAACAGCCTGAAGTTCCCAATGGATTCACCAGAGGTGAAGAGTAAACTGCATTTTGCAGGACTGAGTCTCAACAAGATGGAGGAATTGCTTAAAGTCACACATCGACTTCATTAAATAACTGCCCAGGACATGCACACAGGGAGCCAGCAAGCACCCAGGTAGAAGCCAGTAAACAGAAAACTCTGATGAGAGAAACATTTAGGTGTTGGGTATGAATTGACATTGGAGAGCTTTGCTTCATAGTCTCCTTTCAACTCTGGCCTTGACGTACAAGTCCCAAAATCCTAACAGCAACAGCATCTTCTAAGCATTAAATGGACCTTAATAAATGACGTAACGATCTGGCAGTTTTGCCTTCAAACATTTAGTCACAAAATGCCTGTAAGTTGTCATTTTAAGAGATTTGTACTTGCTCTGCAGTTACACTTCGACAGTAAATTAGAATCATCTTCATGTTACTGTTGGCTTGTGCCTGGATTTCCTCCCACAACCCAAGGCTCTTATGGTTGACCACTTCCAATCTTTCTTTTCACTTTTGGAAAAACACTGGCATTTATCAACCCCTCCCTTGAGCCAACACGATTCACTAGCCCAGCACGCCCCCCACTCTCCACTTATCCCAGAGGATGCACTAAGCACCTCCAGGACATCTCTGATTTGGCAGCAGCAAGCTCGTACCCTCTCTTCTGCCACAGCAACCCATGAGCCCCCCAACCAACAATCCATGGCCCCAGAGAGGTGCAAACCCGATGAGACCACCATACCTGGTGGATTTGGAAGACTGACACCAGTGCTGCTTGGAGGTAATCACTCTGAGGCTGTTTGGTGTAAAAGACCTCAATGGGATGCTGCCTGCCCTCTATATAGAGAACAGGAGCTCCATTGAAGTACTGGGAGAACTGGTCAACATCCATCGTAGCTGACATGACAATGACCTTAAAATGAGTGTAAAATAGGTTAGTGCTGCAGTTCCGACCCAGCAGGACACTTACCAGTCAGGACCAGCCAACAGTTGGCTTCGAGACAGGTATCTGCTCAGAACAGCAAAAAGCACACGGAGTTTGGAACAGGATTGATCCTTCCTTGTTAAAGCCATCAGCTTTGGTATCACACAAGCATAACGTGTTGGTATGATAAAATGAGTGAAGACATGTTAAAATTATTTTCTGACATTTAATAAAGAGAGCTGAGTGTCCCCAAAGCGAGGCCATGGAACAGTCTGTTGAACAGGACTGTGCTCAGACCCTACCAGTCCCCTACGTGCCTTCCCCATCAAACCCAGAGTGCTTTCACACGCTCCATCACATACTCGCATACATTCATTACATGTGTCCAAGAAACACATGTGCATTCTCCTTCCCCAGTGGGAGCACGTCCTACAGCTGTCATACCCAGCAGAGAGCTCCCATGCCCAGGGTGCTCTCAGCAACAGCACCAAAACCTCTCCCAGCACCACATCTAGTCTATACCTCACACCCAAGAGGCTCTTATGAAAAAATAAGATACCAGACACCTTGTTCAGATGTGTCACATCAGGCTCACACATCAAGTTGGCCACCCTTAACTATTCAGATTTAAAGGGACCTTTTAGGAACAGAAAAATAGCCAAGGCTGAAATTTCAAACACTTTGGAAAACCTCAGGAGATATTCATAGCACTCAGAGCCAAAGCCCCACCCCTGCCCTCCGCTGTCATCCTGGATGTACACACTCTTAGTGGCAGTTTGCCCAGTTCCTTCCGTTTCTTTTGCGCAGTTTTCACCACTCCAAAGAGTACATCTGTATGGATTGTCCTCTCGTGAGCTTCATCCAGGATGACAATGCTGTACTTCCGCAGCATCGGGTCCCCAATAGCTTCACGAAGCAGCATTCCATCTGTTAAAAACTTGATTCTAGTTTCATCAGATGTAAGGTCGTCGAAGCGTACAGTATAGCCAACCTATGGAAGTGATCATTGCAGAAAGGACAAACACAAAGTTACTTGCATTTCTCATTGGTATCACACCACAAGGAAGGACTACAAACAAAGCACCCTGCTCAGCGCACCAGAGAGCCAGCCAGAACTTCAAGGAGGCTCTGGAAAGTGTAACAGTGTATTTGCAATCTATGAGCAGTTAATCTTGCAAATCTAATCATCCACCCACAGGATGCTCTCAACCCTGTATCCCAACTGGCTTTCTCCCAACTAGAAGTTCATCACAAATGCTCCAAGCTTCCTTTCCTTCCTTCCCTACCAAAACCAGCTCCATGCTTTCCAAAGATTTTATGTAGGGAAAGTATTTTTCCTCCACTTTTCATCCACAGATTCACAGATCTGCATGGATTCAGCACTCTGTTCTCCTTGACAGTGACTTTTGATACAGGGAGCAATGGAAGAGTGTGCAATTTTTTTTTTGTTTTATTCATTATCCTGTATTTTTTCAAATGGAGGAATACAAATAATAATGAAGTAGTAAAATACCACAAACAGAGTCAAAAATGCCACACACACCCCCGCCACAATAGCAGGTAAACACCCATTTCTTTTCCTTTCAGGCACATTATTAAATTACAACTACCTAGTACCCTGTGGCTGCTTTTAATCTTATCCATTAAGCCCTGATACAAGCCCCATCAACACTGCAGTACTAAACCAACTCTCTGAAGACCCTGTAAAGCAACATACCAGTGTCCCCAGCTCTGTCTTCTTCTCATCTGAGACTCTGGTAGCCAAGGCTATAGCTGCCACTCTGCGAGGCTGGGTCACAGCAATGATGCCGTAGTGGCCAACTCCTGCTTCATAGAGGTACTGGGGGACCTGTGTGGTCTTCCCTGAGCCTGTTTCTCCTAGGGAACATCAAGGGAAAAGTTTTTCTCTTTTATAGTACCTTCAAGTGAAAGGTGCCAACTCATTTTTTTATGTTAACTTCCAGCTGTATTTCAGGACCAGGAGGCTGAAGACAGGAAGGAGTTCAACAGCTTGCCTGAAATCACACCATAAAGCAGCAGCAGAGACAGAACCCAACGCCTTGCTCTAGTTGTTAGAGCACTCCTCTACAAAACTCCTTTCACCCAGGTTCTTTCCAGCCACACTTTGGTTTAGAAACAAGTTCCAGTCTGTCCAGATACAAAGTATTTATTGGTAACACAGCCAACATAAGGTAATTACACAGAGCAAGGAAGAGACATGGGTTTGGTTTTATGCATACATTCACACTATGCACTAGACGGTTTCAAAGTAAATCTGTAAGCAAATTAAAGCAAAGCTTTTATCACAACAGCAAGTAGCGAGTTAACGTTTGAGTGTCTCTTAGAGGAGCACTTGAGGCACCAACAAGCCAGCAACTCTCTCCCTGCACCTTCCTGGAATCAAGAGAGAATCTCTTCAGGCTCTGGTGAACATCTCCTCCATCCACACAGCACTAGCACACAACAGAACAAACACCACTCCATTTCTCCGCAGGTGTATTTCCAACACAAATTCTATGTAGAGCCCTCTACCAAAGGCAGCAATCAGGAAAACCATAAAGCCAGCTCCCACCCATCAATACTCACCACAGCATCGGTGACAAAGTGTCACTTACTGGGCACGGTAAAATGTGGCACAAATCATAGTGCTTAGAGGCACTGTGAGTGAAACCATTTTGAAGTGCAATGTGCATGGAAGAGCAGAGAACATCTTCAACATCACAGTCCTTTTCCTGCACATTACAGTTTAAAACACATTTGTAACTCAAAGCAGATCCCCTTCAGCTTTCTACTGGCCTATTACAAGAACTGCTCTCCGTGAAAGAGCATGAAGCTCTGGAAACAAGTGCCCTGTACTCTCAATCCTCGCAAAACAGCAACAGCATAGAGTGCACTGGGGAGCGAGGCAAGCACAGACAGGAGGAGGAGGAAGACATATGAGAAATTTGGAAGGATGGCCACCAACCAGAGAAGAATCAGAAAGCCAAGCTGTAAGCACTGCAGGTGTAGACTGGCAAAAGCATGACAGAGCTTTTTAGCCCACTTCACAGCTGCACAATTTTATGTGGTGTATTACAGAGTAGATTTAGAACCAGTAATGACAAGCTCAGGATTATACAGAGGAAAAGAGATAAACACAGTTCCATCTATCAATCATCACGACTGATTTTTTTTTAAGAGTTCACTTACAGGAGTGAAATAAAAAGTATTTTTCATTTAATTCTAATAAATGCTGAGCCTTTAGACTTCCAGATGAGAAGCTGTATGTCTTCAGCTCCTAACAGCCAGACAAAAAGCTTGTTAGTCTGGACTCAAAGCAAACGTAACGAAGTGAATGCCCCTGAAGACATAACTGAGGAGACACTTTTTCCGAAGAGCAGGGTTTTGCCATTTGACTTTTCGGTTGACTGAACTCCATGCAGATGGCAAAACAGAAAGGAGAAGGAAATACTTTTGCCTTCTCCATAAAAGTTAAGGCGCCGGCTGCCTTAACCGGTCAAAACTCAAGAATAAAAAATATGAACAATTTACCACGTTTCAGATTTACACACAAACCGTGTCTGTGCAACTTCTTATAGGCCGCGCCACCCCCCGACGCCCGGCTGGAGCAGCCCAAACCCGGCGCCGGGGACACTCGCTGTCTCCTCGGGACCCTCGCCCCCGGGAGGCCGCGGTTTAGGGCACCGCGAGGCCCTTCGTGTGCGCCCGGGGGCACGGGGAGCGCAGCAAGGCCCTCTCTCCTGGCAGAGGCACCCACAGAACCGAAACATCAGCCGGGAAAGGCAGAGTCAACCAGCATCCAGTATCACTAACCGGCAGGTTAAAGACCCACCTCATTCCCATTTATGATTTGCTGGGACAAATAACCCCTCACACAGCTGACAAAACACTCTCCCATGACAACTCTGGTATTTAAACACACTTCTCTGCGGAACAGGCTGCCCAGGAATGGTTTCAAGGGCAATCAGAGCCCTCGTTATAAACAGTGATCTGACCATAATAGCTAATTTTGTCCCAGGGTACAAGTAAGTAACACTTAATTTCTTCCCAGACACAGATACCATGTCATCACTCTGTTAATAGAGGAGTACAATCTTAAATACCCCACCAGAGTGGAAGGAAGCGTGTGAAGAAAGCAGCTTTGGAAGAGCGAGGACAATCTGTTTTACCAGTACATGACGTGAACAGGTCATCCTCAGGAAGGAGCACGTCACCTCTCCCACCTCACAGTGGGCTCTGGATTTCTGGGTCTTCTCCACACCACAGGGCTGTCTTCTAGCTTCATCCCCACCAGCAAGCCACTAAGTGGCTCTTACACACAGAACTACAAAAAACATTTTGATCCAATTCCTGTCTCATAAGCTACCCTGAAGCAACATTTGCCCACATTTTTAGTCATCCTAGATACTAAAATTTAAAGTCTGTTTTGGGGAAAAAAAAAAATAATCTCCCTTGTTTTTACAACCTCTAACAGATAAATGCAGACACAAACAGACTCACCAATTTTGTTTACAGAATCTAATAACACTGCTTGTGGACAAAACACTTCTTCATGAGATCCCAACACATTAATCTCCTGACAAGTTAAAAACCTGTAGCCAGTTTTCAAGAACAGCAAAATTCTGAGAATAAACAAGATGATCACATGTGTCAAGGGCAAGCCTAGACTCCCAAATTTAGGAGGAAGATGCAGTTTCAACAGTATCTCTTTTTATCTACTATTTACTATAATCAATAGAGCGCTACCCTGTACAGTCCACAGCATCTCATGAGCTGAACCGTGTTCCAAACTCCTTACATGGCTCCTCATACAGATATTTATAGTCAATATGACTTCAAACTAAATCCCACTCAGCATCACTGACCTGTGACACTCAGTCCTCTCACAACTAAATCCATACACAGTCCATGAATTTAACATCTTGAGTGGACAATCCCACTTCCTAGCAGTTCTGAGACATCCGTGGGAAAAACTTGCATTAATGATCTCTTGAGGGACTTGTCTTTTTCAGCCTCTGCTTTTTTCACCAGCTGCCTCAAGACTACAGGATTATATAATGGATTAACAAAAAAGGATCCACAAGACATTTTATTCAACAAACCATCTGAGATATTTGAACAGTTCTGACTCCAGACAAGTTCTCTTACCTAGTGCTCCAAGTCATTAAATGACTGTTAGAAGCGTGCATGTGTGGGCCGGATTTTGTAGACCTATTTAAACAAACCAGACTCAAACTTTGTCATCTGAAAAGTCTTTGGGAAAAAAGCCATCAAAATGTAGTGTCAGCCTGCAAGCATATTCACGCAGAGGCACGTTCCAGAAACCCAACTGACAAAATGAAAAGCCTACATTATGCTACATGTTGTATTTCCCATAAGTCAAACACAAATGGAGACAACAGCATCTCAGATAAAAATCCTTTAGCCACTGAAATAGGGATTTAGACTTTCAATCATCTTGTAGCTGTTTTATCCAAGAATAAAAAATTTGTTAAACCCAAAAAAGTTGGTTTTGTCCCCTGTAAAGTTTCCCACATAGTTTCCTGTATCAAATAGCTTGAAAAAATGCTTTAGAAATCACATTAAACAAGTACTTGTAGTCTGGTTAACTGAAGTTGACAGGAAATAGTTTCCAGTTCTAGGTTTTTGGCTCCACGGGATTAGTATTTTCATTACCAGCACAATGAATTCCCTGACTGGGAAAGACACTGGTAGCCTGGAAGTGTCTTGGATTAGACTGCCATTTCATAAAGTGCTTGTATTCAAAACCAGAGAGCTGTCAAAAAGCGTTCTTTCTGCGATGGGGAATGAGAGAGTCCCCAGTATGGAAATTAATTCACATCAGTCTCTCCCAGTTGTCACTGCGTTTTGGCACAAACGTTTACTAGCCTCCAAGGCGCTGACCTTCTCCCCATGCAAATCCTCCTGGTCGTTCTTCTGGCAGGGGATTGTAATTAGGATCATCTTCTGGTGTATCAAATATTGCTTTCCTGGAAAACAGAAAAGATTTTTTTTTTTTCCCTTTAGAATACATGTTTTACAATAAGACCAAGACTACTGAAATTCTGCACATATAACAGTGTCCTCCCCCAGAAAGAGCCTGCCAAAGCACTGGTGATTTATATCCAAGTCACACTTGCTCTCCAATTAGGAGCCATCTGGAAGAAGGTCTAGAATTATATGCCTAAATCAACCAAGACTGATGAGATTCAGCTGAAACTTAAAACTCCACCTCCAGTGTAAGGCAGAATTTCATACAGCTAGCATGTTCTGCCAGGACAGGATAAGGGAGCAAAACGCCAATAGGCTATTTAAGAGCTCTTCACATATTGAGAAGGGGCCAAAGAAAGAGTCACATGCAGACAGTATTATCTCAATCTCACAGGCAGGATACAGGCACTGACAGCCACAGAAGAGCCTGCATTTGAGACATCAGGGACTTGGGCTTCCTATTTATTACAAAAATCATGCTTAATCTTGTAGGTTATTTTGCCGCTCTCAAATCTAGTTTCAAAGGTTTTCTCTCCATAGATTTGTTTATCCAGAAACAAAAATGTAGTAAATTCTTTGAAGCAGAAGACAAAAAAAAGCACAGGCTGCATACAAGGAATCATTACATCCAAAACATCTTAAAAGTGTGTTGTTGAACAAGACAGTTCTTAGAATAGCTAAAGGGATTATTTCTCTTCACCCAGAGTGACAGGCCATTTCAGAGAAGTGTTCAGAACCGGGAAAAAGAATAAATATAACCAGGGGTATTACAGGATTACAGCTAAAACAAAGAAAATTAAAGCATCTGGGAAAAAAAAAAAATCCACCATTCTAGACCCAGACAAGAATAAGCAGCAGCTTTCTGAACACAGACACATGAAAGGATTTAACAGCAGTCTGAAGACAGGCTGATACTTTTTTCTAGAGGGAGACAGTTACTGAGACAGCATGCACCGCTCCAGCAGCCTTAGGACTCCTACACACAGCTGGGTGCATACACCCTCTGAAAAGAGGAAATCTCATACATATCCTTATTGTGCATGTGTAATTTGACATTAAATTAGTCTAGAGTTGCATTTACATGAAGATACCCCTCACCAGAACCTGCCTTCAGCTGCTAAGGCCATGTTAGATTAGTGTAGGCCTACAAAAGTGACCAGCACAGCCATCCTGGGACAGTCATTCCTGCAGCCATCACCTGGTACAATTACTTGCTGAAGACAAAGCCTATACTGAACAGAAATAAACTAACCCTACAGTGTGCTTGTCCCATCAAATGAGTATGACCCATCAGTTCAACTAAGCATGAGTCTGAAGAGGAGATTTTAATTATTCAGGCTTCTAGGGGCAAGCTCAAACAAACAACAAAAAAATCAGTTCAGTTCTAGATAACTAAGGCTCACAGAGCTCAACTTTCCCAGTCTCAACTGCCCTACTGTTTAGGCAAGCTTCTTTCACCCAGGCATTACAATCACAGCCCTCTGTGCAAGAGGGAACTGAGTAGGAGTAGCACCACTCAGTAGTACAAACACTGAAGTCTTCTGCCAAAGGTGAAATAGAGAATGATTTACAGATTAAAAAAATATTAGGTATTTTTAATACCTCAGTCACTCTACACAGCATATTCCTCACACCTCAACAAGAGACATGCATCTTTGGTGCCACCAACAGGCAAAACTCAGTTAGCAAAGACTACAAAGTGTTACCAAAGAAATCAAGGGTTACAAAAGCCCTTTAGCCCTTCTTGGCAAGAAGTTACTTCCCACTTACACATCTGTAAGATCCCCCTCCCTTGTTTGGCAACACATGAGTTAAATAAAAGTACAGACACACCACAATTCTGTCTCAAGCTAATTTACCAGAAATGGACGTGACTGAATTAGAAAGAGTTTTCCATGCAAGCACTTTTTCTACATCCATTCCAAATCAGACACCAACACTTACAGGACAGATGGTGTTCTCAGAAGCCTTCCACCACCAGGCTGATTGGGAAAGACATCCTCTAAGAAAAAATATATATGCCCAACAGCAATGCCTAGCACATAAAGAAAAGTCAAGTGGTGATTTTTCAATACTTCTCCTTTGCAACTTTCAAATGTTTCACTAGAGTTTTCAGGAAAAAAAACAACAAAACCAACAAAACACCACACATTGATTCTTTCACAGAAAATATGGTAAGAAATATACAAATACAAAAACCAATGAAGCACACTGACACCAAAAGAAAAGCTTAGCTTAGGGTACAAAACAAATACAAGGAAAACTGCTTGTCATTATTAAACATACTGATGTTATGGCTTCATTAGAGTTGATAAAAATAGTAATATAAGCTACTTTACTTCAACAGTCATATGCCCAGTCAAATTGCATACCTGGGCTGATTCCAAGCAATAAAAAGCCAAAGCATTAGAAGCTATTTCCATCCCTATTACAGTACAAAATATGCAATGTTTAGAAATCAGAAAAGCCTGGTACAAATACACTAGACAAACTAAGTAAAAAGCATTCTTTCCACATTTTGTGTTTCATGTAAAACATTAGCAGGAACAAATTCTTGTGATTCTTGCAATTGCTTACCCAGAAGATCCACAATGATGGAGTTCCCCAAAAGAAGTGAAAAGCCCATCAATACCCAGGGCAGAAATGGGGCTTGAAAGATGAGAAGACCAAAAAAGTTCATACGAACATAGGGATTCCTGCGGCTCCATACATACACGAGCATTATTGTGAATGCCTGACCCAAAAAAACCAAGTTCACAAACAGGCCAAAAAGCTGTGATGGGTAGTTAAAGGAAACAGTTCACTAATCACTGTTGTGAGGTCATGAGCTTGAGAAGAATTTCACAGCTTAATCTGTGTTTTCCGTACAACTGCTAACTCTGTTTTCCCAGGTTCATGTCGATCAAATTCAACACCTGTGGGAGAATTCAGGGTACCTGCAGCACAAACAATCCCTTTAAAGTATAAATTTAGCATGAAATCACTGAAGCAACAGCATTTCTCTTAGACAGTCTGAGCATGATTACACACCTGAGCAGTCCCCTTTTATCTGATAATAACAGCCCAGTATTTGACAGCAACAGTCACAAAGCATTCAAAAGTACTTTAACAAATACTGTCATTCCTTGTACTACAAACAAAATATATTATCTTTGAAAAATTAAGATAAAAGTAGCATCATGGTTAGTCCTCATTCAAGTATCTTTAGCTTCACTAAAGCAGTCTGGAGTACAAAAAGGATACAGTCATTAGAAGTCCTCCGAAAAGGAACATAAATACAAAATCTGCTGTTCGACCTCGAAAAGAGCCTTCTTCAAGCATTCTGCAGTAACGATATCTGAAGTCGCAGGTCAGGAAAATTTGATTACAAATGAGTTTAAAGAAAGATCCAGGTGGAAAAGGGTTCAATTATAACATGAGTTTAGATGTACGTTTTGTATCAATTTACTTCATCAGCTGGCTCTTTCTCAGCAGAGGACAGACCCAGGAGAAAAAAGTTACTTGGAATTATCTCCTGTATGTCAGAACCAACCAACCTGAAGGATCAGGCTTGTACAACAAAGTCTTAACAACACAAAAATAAGCGGCAAAATTCTTGACAACTTATGAAGGAAATCCTGTTGATGTCCATTCATGACATCAGTGAAGTCAGCATTGTTAGACTCCAAAGAACTTCACGGTGGAGAAGAACTTGCCTATATGCACGTACAGTAACATGCTCGTACTCTGGAACTCTGCTTTCCAAGGAAAAAAACCAAACTTGATGAAGGATACAAAAAGATCATATTAAATAAAAAATTAAAGCCAACTGGTCCAAAGAATAAGTAGTTTGTGATTAACCTCCATACCTGGAAATAAGACCAATAGAAGGGTTTTACACATGACAGCTTATTTTTATTGTCTAAATACAAAAGCAGGTAACAATGTAACTGGAATCTCCTTCACAGCCAACAAAACAAAGACCTATGCTAAGATACAGTGATCAGCACTCCAGCTTCACTAGCTTTTTAAAAGTATAACTTCAATACATAGTCATTTGTAACACTATTTTGAGACAACACGCACTCAGAAACTCGTTTACTTAAAAACCTCCCATACTATAGAATACACTTACTTGAAAGTGTTTAAATATTAATTCGGGGTTGAAATACAGCTGAAAGGGTGTGATTAGTTCTAATTGCTGAAAAAAAAAAGACAGGATTTGATGGAGTCAATACACCAGGAAAAAGCTATACACCCCTAAATAACCCGCTTCCTCTGTGCCAAAGAGCGCCAGTTCTCATTCAGCACACTGAGCTCTCTAGCAAGACCAGCCTCGATACCCCCCTCACACTGTCACGCTTCGCTTGTGCTTCGCGCCTCTCCGGGTTTCACAGCGGGGTGACAGGTGGGGCCCCGGTGGCGCTGCTCGGAGGGCCCCGAGGGAAGACACCCGGCCCCGGGGCGGGGAGGTGTCCAAGCTACCCCCTTCCGCGGTTCCCAGGCGCACTCCTCTCCCCAGCCCGCCGGGCACAGCTCCAACGAGACTCGTCCCCCCCTTGCCGGGCACCCTCCGCGCAGCC